CTAGCTTCCTTTCCGTCCTCAAACAGTTCCACAGTGGCCGAGCCGCCCAGTACTCCTCCACGACCACAGGATCCCCTCTGTCTTCTCTCTTGCTGTCGCCACGTCGCTGCTTGGGTCGGCCACCATCACCCGTCGTCCCCTTTCAAGCACCGCTCATCCTCTTCTCAGATTTTTGAAGCAAGCCAGTGGAGTCTGACCACCTCTTTGATTGCCTTCCTAACTTTCTCTGTCCATCGCCAGAAAATGAAGGTGGTAAAATTCCATCAGATACCAATCAATCAGAACCGATCACAGAATATATCGATGGGTTTGTTGATAAATGGGCTATGGGCTTCACATGAATAGCACGGGCTTTTGGATTTCTCTCAGCTTTTGGGATAGTAAACTCTCAACTCAGTAATTTTTGTTAATCTCATAATTATCAGTTAATTGCATGCGTATTAAATCTCTAAACTATTATCATATATTCCTGCTTAATTTATTTTGTGAGTTGAGAGAACTGAACATGTGACTGTTTAATTTTGATATTGAATATAGAACTTGCGAAATGATAATTAATATTGCGATTAAAATATTTGAGATTGGAACTGTTTATGACTATTGTTGCAAATCTTGTTAAAACCCATCTGTCGTATTAATTGTTTTATTTAATTTCCTACCAAATATTATGAATTTTGGCGAAACATTGTATTATTCGAATTAAATCGCTGATTCCGATGGAACCCCCTATTTCGTTTCGCATCATGAGTGTTGTTCGGTCGACCACGACAACATGTGCAGTCGACCGGAAACGTGCAAGAGTACATGGTAGTTTCTGGATTTCTGTCCGGTTGACCGCGAAAACTTCGGCGGTCAACCGCGGACCTATAATGAATTTTTTGGTTTCTATCGTTCTGTTCAGTTGACCGCAAATGGTTTCGGAGGTCGACCGCAAATGGTTTCGGAGGTCGACCGCCTGTCGGGTTTGGGCATGGGCTTCATTTACTATTCTGATTTGGTTTGTGTTTTGTATATATTGAAACATGTTTTTTAGGGTTTAGTAAGGTTTAAAAGAGGTTATTTTTTGTGCACAAAAAAGAAAGTTTTCTGAGCAATTTGTTTGGGGTTTGTGTGAGAGATTTGAGAGCTTTGTTTGAGAGATTTTAAGTGATTTTGTAATCTCTATTTGTATTCTCTTCTCTATTAGTGAAACTCATCCCCTTTTTACCTCGTGGACGTAGGCAACTTGTCGAACCACGTAAAATTCGTTATTTTTGTTCGTGCTGTTAATTCTGTATTTGTGTGACCTTCTCTCTCGACGATTTCGTGTTTCCTCGGACCCTAAAAAGAAGGCTTAAGAGCCCAACAAGTTGTATCAGAGCCAGGTTACACTTAGGTTAGGTGGAGGAGTAGATCGTTTTGGAAGCTCATCTAGGATTTCAATTAGAGACAAATGTGGGATTTTTACTATTATGGATCTTGTCTTCCATCATGTGAGAATGAGATCTTTTGGAGGCTCTTGTTAGGGTTTTAATTGGAGGTAAAAATCTACCTTTCTCGTAGTTAGGATCTATTTTTTAGCTTGTTCGGTATTGGTTTGTTGGTGTTTTGAGGAATATGGCTGAGAAAGAAGGTGTTGGGAGTGGACTTCTGGTGTGAAGACCATTCAAAATTTGAATATCCACTCTATGAAGATAGATGTGGAGAAGTTTAATGGCACGAACAACTTTGACTTATGGAGATGTGAAGTTTTGGATGCGCTGAACGTGCAAAATTTAGAAGAAACTTTAAAGTTGGACGGAAAGCCGGATAACATTAAAAAAAGGTTTGGAAGAAGATGAATCGGACAGCATGTGACGTGATTAGGTCTTATTTAACGCAGGATCTAAAATATGATGTGATCAATGAGACTTTGGGAGATTCTTGAAGGCAAGTATTTGACGAAGTGTGTTGAGAACCGTTTGCATTTGAAGAGGAGACTTTATCATTTCCAATTAAAGAAGGGAATCTCAATTAGTGATCACATGAACAACTACACAAAGATTCTTACGAATTTGACGAATGTGGATGCCATGATCGAGGATGAGGACACGGCGTTGTTGTTGTTGAGTTCCTTGCTTGATGAGGAATATGAGACCTTCGTTCTTACCCTAATTAATGGAAATGCATCTCTTTCGTATAATGAGATTACCGCTGCTCTTGTGAATTATCAGCTAAGGAAAAAAGACAAGGAGTCTTGAAATGATACAATAGCAGATGCATTGACCGCAAGAGGGAAAAGTCCAAACCAAAATAGGAGATCACAGTTTAGAACAGCACATCCTTCAGTTGGTAGAAATCAATGTGCTTTTTACAAAGAAGATGGACAATGGAAGTCTGAATGCCCAAAGTTGAAGAATAGAGCCGGGAAGAATAAGGGAAAAGCTGTACAAGCTTTAGAGGTGAATGTTGCCAAAGCTAGTGGTGACAATTTAGATTCGGATTCTTCAGGCTACTTATGTCCACTATTACCGTCAGTTTGTTATGTCGACTCTACAGAGTGGATGTTGGATTCAGGTGCTACATACCATATTTGTTTTAGGAGGGATTGGTTCTCCAGCTTTGAGGAGTTAGAAAGAGGGGATGTCGTGCACATGGGTAATGATTATGTTTACTCTATCGGTGATATTAGAATAGTTCAGATCAAGATGTGTGACGGGATGACTAGGGAGCTGAAAGAAGTGAGATTCGTTTCGGAGTTGACGAAGAACATCATTTCAGCTTGAACTTTGGAGGCAGTAGGCTATAGGGTGATCTTAGAGAATACAATTCTGAAGATCACAAAGTGGTCCATGATTATGATGAAGGGCGTCAGGAAGAATAACTTATACTACTTGACTGGAAGTACGGTGACAGGTGGAGCGCTGGTGACTTCTATTGATTCGGCTAGACTGTGGCATTTGAGGCTGGGACATTCTAGTGTTGGTTCCTTGCAAGCTTCGGATTTGCAAGGATTGGTGGGAGGTGCTTTGATCTGCAATTTGAAGTACTGTGAGCTTAATGATGTGAGCAAGAAGACCAAGGTGAAGTTTGGCATTTCTATTCATCGTGCTAAGGGCCTTCTAGATGATGTTCACGTGGGCGTTTGGTGGGAAGCACAAGAGGAATCCATTTCTGCATTTGTGTCGAGCTCAAGGCAGTTTGAGACGCTTCATTGGAAAGAAAACATTGAGGCAACGAGATGAGGTGGCAAATTTGATGAGTTGTTCCTTGCTGGAGAAGGATCAGTGTTTTGTGTCAAGCAGTAGTTTGAAGAAGAGTTATGGTACTGATGCTTTGACATATTCGAGCCATCTTATTCATAGGTTGTCATCTGCTGAGATTGGAGTATTTAGGTCTGTTAGAGCTGCTTCAGATTTTAGTTTGCTTCAGATATTTAGGTTCCTAGCATATTGTCACATCGAGGATGTGGAAATTGATCTGAGTGCATATTTAGAATTCAGAGGCGTGTTTGGTTACATGTTATGGGACTCAATTTTCAAGAAGATTGTTCTGAGCAGTAAGGTCACATTTGACTCTCAGCAGGTGGAGAGTATTGGTCAGATCAGAGATGTATCGTAGCAGGTGGAGAGTGATGCTACTTTATTTTGGGTGGAGATTACTCCACGTTCTCCAGATCATTCTGTATCGTTTGGGATTCCAGCTGAGGTGACACAGATTGGAGATCATGTTGGTGTGGATATAGATGATGAGTTTGAAGATCATGATTCGAGTGTAGTAGGTAGACACAGTTCAGATTTGGCTATGGTCGTTGGCTCACCTCAGGTGGAGGTGTTTGGTAATTGTGCTTCTTCTAATAGTGTTGAGGGGTTAAGCTCCAAGATAGATTTGGTGTGGAGAAATGCAAGTTTGGAAGAGAGTTTATCTTTTTACTTTGAGGCCATTAGGAGTATTATCAGCTGTAGATTTGTTGGTGATGATCGTGAAGTTGGTGTAGGGTTGAAAATCCTTCTAGTTGATTGAGGGCTTTTGGAGGCCATTTGGAGGCCATTTGGGTGAACTATGTCAGGCTTGATTCCTTGGGCAAAAGGATACGTAGACAGTCATTTTGATGCAGCCAGTTTGATGAGTTGATACCGACATTTTGGAGCTTGTTCGCATTCTCGTTTGGGTTCTCGACTTGTTGTGGATTGAGACCGTTGTCGTGGATTGTTTTCACTTCGTACTGGACGCAACAAGTGGGACGTTTGGTTGGTATTGGTGTCGGTTTAGTTTTGGAAAAACTTCACCGAGGTGGAGAATTGTAGAAACAGTGACGACGGCGACGAAGTTCAGCAAAACAAAGCAGACAGGCACTTGGGTGTTGTCCGGTCGGCTGCAGCAACATGTGCGGTCGACCGAAAACGTGAACGAGTACAAAGTAGTTTTTGGATTTCTGTTCGGTTGACTACGAAGAATTCGGCGATCGACCGCGGACCCTGTAATGGTTTTTTGGTTTTTGTCGTTTTGTGTGGTCGACCGCGATGGTTTCGACGGTCGACCGCCTATCGGGTTTGGGTCTGGGCTTCATTTCCTCTTTTGATTTTGTTTGTGTTTTGATATATATTGAAACACGTTTTTTAGGGTTTAGTAAGGTTAAAAAGGGGTTATTTTTTGTGCACAGAAAAGAGAGTTTTCTGAGCAATTTGTTTGGGGTTTGTGTGAGAGATTTGAAAGATTTATTTGAGAGATTTTAAGTGATTTTGTAATCTCTATTTGTACTCTCTTCTCTATTAGTGAAAACTCATCCCCTTCTTGCCCCGTGGATATAGGAAACTTTCTGAACCACGTAAAATTCATTGTTTGTATTCGTGCTGTTAATTTTGTATTTGTGTGACCTTCTTTCTCAGTGACTTCGTGTTTCCTCGGACCCCAAAAAGGAGGCTTAAGAGCCCAACACAAGCGTCTCTTGAATTATCTGATAGAATATAGTTGTCATTTCCTTTTGTTCACCTGTTTCAAGCAGTAGAAGGAATGCTGGTTATAAATGACTCTATATAGAGTTGAAGAAAATCGAAAGTACATCAATAACATTATAAGAAATCAAAGATAAAAATTCCTACTGGGTAGTTTCATATACAGGTTTGAAGTTTCTGTAAGCAACTACTGCATAAAATGGATCTGAGCCAGATAATCCGAGCAATCTCATGATACCACTAAGAGGTGAATTATCCACATCTCCTGGTAATCTTCTTACCACCTCCGGTTGAGTGAAACCATCAATACATTGAAAATATTGCACAACCAGTTGAACTCGGCTGAAGGCGGTCCCATCTCTCCAGGCCGCGATTGCTTTCTCATAGAACATACGATTACTGAAACTCACGATAAAAACACCTCCGGGTTTAAGGACCCTAAATACCTCTGCAAATACCTGCAAGAAGAAACTACTAATTTTATTATCTGAATTTAATAGGGATGCTATCAGAATCGCGTCTAAAGGAATGGGGTGATTTACACCGTAAATAGAAGATTTATAACTCCCAAACTAATTCTCTAACCACCTAAGAATGGTATAGATCATCACTTTCTATAAGATGTTCTAATAGAATATTTACTCCTCTGAGCTAGTGCATCTGTTAGCATTTATTGAATTCTTACTTGACAAGTACAACTTTAATTGTGGATCTAAATTATAAAGACTAATTTGCTAAGCTTAAAATTTAATGTGCTAGGAAAAGGTGCATTAAATGTAACCATTTGCAATGCTGCTTCGTGATCATCTTGCTAGGAATTTTATGGAGATTAAACGGTAGAATTAAATACAAGAAATAAATAATGACGACACCCACAAAAATATCACATGGAAGCAAACACCGAGATTAAAATGGTTCGGCAAATCGTGCCTATATCTATGGGGCAATCTAGAGAGAAATATTTCTCTATTAATCAAGAGTACAAGTATTCAAAGCTACATCCAAACTTGGGAATTAAATCACAAGGGAAAAATACAGTATTACTGCAAGGACACCAACAACTTAAACCCCCTCTCACCATAATTTTCAACCCTCGCAGAGAAACCAACATTGCATCCTTGATGGCGTCGTTACTCTGAAAAAAATAGCTTTTAAATCACCCCAATTAGACAACATAACAATTCGAAATTATAAATTTTCTCTTCCTCTCTTTTTCTTTCTCTCTCCTCGAATACAGCGCACAAAAGAATAGGTGCTCTCTTTTTCGGCTCCTGTTCACTACACGGATTCACAAAAGTTGTTCCTTATTTAAACAAAATTTATCCTAAGGTTCTCAAACCTATTAGAATTGCATATAAGTCCAAATTCTTTATCAAGTGGAATTCAACATAGACCTAGTATATGTGGCCCTAACTTGGACTAGACCTACAACAATCTCCCATCTAGCCTAATGAGAGGAGTATGCCAATCTATAGCTCCTCACTGGAAGCCCATACTAGCCAATTACAGACACAAATCAGTCTTCTCTCTGGAAATTGTCTTCATAAAAAAATCTGCTAAATTATCATTAGTGTGAATCATCTATAACTTCAGCTCCTGTTTCTCAGCAGCTTCTTTAAGTTAATGATATCTCACATCAATATATTTTATCTTGAAGTGGAATATTGAATTTTTGCTTAGTTCTAGAGCACTCTGACTATCAATGAAAACTTGATACTCATTTTTTTGGTACATGCCTAACTACTGCAAACATCTACTCAATCACACCATCTCTTTTACCTACTTTGCAACTTTAATATATTATGTCTTTGTTGTAGATAAAGCAACATACTTCTACAATTTAGACTGCCATAATACAACTCTCCTTATAAAAGTGAACAACCAACCTGAGATAAACTTCCTATGACCTAGATCACCTGCCAAATCCGCATATGCAAAACCATGTAGTATTGGCCGCTTGGAACCTCTAAAACTCAAAAACAATATGAAGCTACTTTTCAAATATTTTAAAGTCCACTTTACACTCTCCCAATGTACGTTTTCTAGATTAGAAAGAAACATGCTCACAACGTCGACTGCATGAACTATATCTTGCTAAGTGCAAACTTAGCATACATTATACTCCCTACAGCTGAAGAGTAAGAAATATTTTTTATCTCCCTCTTTTTCTCATCTGTAGTCTGGCATAAATTCTTACTAGGCTTTAAGTGACTTGCAAGAACAGTACTAACTGTCTTGGCACCTTTTATGTTGTACCTATTAAGCAACCATTTAGCATATTTCTCTTGTGATAACCATAACAATTTGAATGTTCTATCACGTGCAATCTCCATATCATAGATCCGTTGTGCCAAACCCAAATCCTTCGTGTTAAAGGATTTAAATAACTATTCTTCATCCCACTGATCATCTGACTATCCTAACTAACAATCAACATGTGGTCCATATAAAGCAACAGGATAATTAAGCTAGCACCTGAATATCTCCTAAAATATACTCAAGAATCTACATTTGTCTTCTTATAGTGATGACTCAAAATGAAAGAATCAAATTTCTTATCCACTACTTGGGTGCCAAATTTAAACCATAGAGGATCTTTCAACCTACAAACCATGTGCTCTTTTCCCTTCACTTCAAAACCCTCCAGCTGCTTCATGTACTGTAGTCATTAAAAATTATATATGGGTTCCCACAAGCAGCTCGAGACAAAGAGAAGACGATGAACGCTATTATCCGAATCAAGGAGGATGATCTGATGTCATAGAGAAGCTAACAAATGTACGAAGCGAGTTAATAAATCATACAAATCAATGGGATGATACAATAACGAAGAAGCGACTCAACCTGGGGTTACGTTTCACCCACAAAGGAGTAAGAACCACTCATGTCTTGCTCATACCATAGGTGTCTCACTCTTGGGAGGTTGTAGATCTTTTCGTGATCTTTCTAATGCATCTTGGATCCCTTCATTCTGAGGTCGGACGAGGGAGTTAGAGTCAAAATACCCGAGACCGTTCAAGCCATTTTACACCAGCGAGACACAAAGTGTGTCTCGGAGAAGAATGGAGATTTTGACCATGACTTGCTACGAATATGAAGAATCTCAAAAGATAAGAGTTGTATGTATCTTTGTCAGCTTTCTAACGTATCTTGAATCATCTCATTCCGAGGTCGAACAAGAAAGTTAAGACCAAAATACCCGAGATATTTGCGAGATAGTAGAAGTGACTCACGCCCAGGTCAGCTCCCGACGTGTTTTCTGATAAAATTAGCTGCTAGAACTCCTTGGGGTCATCCATAAATATGTGGGATTATCCTTAAATATGTAGAAGCTGTTACACAACCGAAAACCCACCTAAACGGATAATAACGGTTGTTCTTCGACCCTATCCACAAACATGACATTTAAAGCCTATAAATACAGTCCTAGGGCCATCATTTGCAGAGAGCTAGAATTCTTGAGCCTTAGTGAAGCCCTGCTGAATAAGAGACTGAGGAGCATGAATTTTAGGGAGGAGGAGGAGATCGGATCGAGTTCTTCAACATAAGGAAGAGGAGTTCGTCAGATCCATAGCTCGGTTCCTTCCCTTGAGATCGTAGCTAGCTGCGATCTCGAGAAGAGTGATTATGTCGCTGTTGTCGAGATAATTACTTTGGTTTCTTGATTCCTTTGCGAATCAATGAAACTTCAGATTGATCTGATAGCTTGGTGGTCTATGGATAAACCCCGGCACCGGCAAAGATCTCACGCAAACAACATGAGATAAACTGTTGTTGTGTATGTTTTGACGAGAGTTGTAATTTTTAGTTTTCATTGTGTAAGAGTCTTATATTCCTATCCACAAACATGACATTTAAAGCCTATAAATACAGTCCTAGGGCCATCATTTGCAGAGAGCTAGAATTCTTGAGCCTTAGTGAAGCCCTGCTGAATAAGAGACTGAGGAGCATGAATTTTAGGGAGGAGGAGGAGATCGGATCGAGTTCTTCAACATAAGGAAGAGGAGTTCGTCAGATCCATAGCTCGGTTCCTTCCCTTGAGATCGTAGCTAGCTGCGATCTCGAGAAGAGTGATTATGTCGCTGTTGTCGAGATAATTACTTTGGTTTCTTGATTCCTTTGCGAATCAATGAAACTTCAGATTGATCTGATAGCTTGGTGGTCTATGGATAAACCCCGGCACCGGCAAAGATCTCACGCAAACAACATGAGATAAACTGTTGTTGTGTATGTTTTGACGAGAGTTGTAATTTTTAGTTTTCATTGTGTAAGAGTCTTATAAAAAGACTATCTTTTTGTTTTTATTATAACAACTGAAGTTGTAATGAATACCTCAATGAAGATGTCAACTTTCACACCAAACAAGCTGGCGATCACAGTGGGAGCCAACAACCTTACTGTCAAGACTGTCGCACCGCAGCCGACGATCAAGATCCCCGTGGCTGAAGAGGTTGAATACGAGTTCGACCAACAGAAGTTCAAGGAGTACGTCTCCTCCTCCTCTTCCACATCCTCCTCTCCTGGCAGGTGTAGGAAGGTCTCCTCCTCCGGAAGATCCGCTGGTCTTCAGATTTGAAGACCTAAGAAGGCGATCTCCCCGCTACTGCTACTGCAGTAGCACTTCGTAATGATCCGCCAGCGTCTGATGAAACCAAAGCCGCAAATCCGGACACCGCCTCCATTAAGGAGTTGATTGCTGAAGGCACGCCAACTTTATCGGAGAGAGCTCGTCAGAGGTGTCGTCAACGTCTCGCTAGCCAATTTGCAGAGGCTTTGGAGCAAGTACACCGCTACCAAGAGGATCTGAACTCCAGGAGACGCCAAGTGGCTAAACCATCACCACAGTAAGCTTCGGGATTCTTCTCCAAATCACCTACTAACGAATGGATTCGTGTCAAACAGAACCATTTCACTCTGGAGGAGCGTATTCAAAAGTGTCGTACACTTCTTGCGCACGTCCGGATCCTTGTGCGAAAAGCACAAGAAATGCAGAAAGAAGAGGCGGTTAAGAAATCACCTAAGTATAAATGGGTTTGGATGCCAAAGGTCAAATCAGCGTCTAAGGCAAAAGTAGACGAAGTTACTATTCAGCATTCGTCAACTTCAGATCCCGCTCCTCTTGCTCCCGCACCTCCGACGAAGCCCTACAGGAGCGTGGATCTCTCCAAATTCAGAATTCCATTGAAGGATTGCCTGGGTCCTCTACATGAAAATCGAGGCAAAACTCCTGTCAAAGAATGCTTAGGGACCGGTGAACAAATTCCGAGTGACTCTTCTGGCTGGATGTCATACACGACCTCCTAACAAGCCAATTCCTATAACCGCCCGCTTGGGGGTGTGTACAGAAGGCTAGGAGCCCGTTAGGGTTTCACCCTCACAAAGGTGTGATTCCAAACATGTGACTCCTACAAACGCCAACAAGGCGTTGCTTATTCAGAAGAAAATGTGTCTGGCAAAAGACGACGTTATACCTGATAAACAACCAATAAGTTGCTCCGGTCACAGCCGATGAGTGTAGGCATATAAAATTGCTTATAGGTCCCCTAGCATAGCTCGGCACAAACCGACGAGCCAACAAGGCGACGAGATCGACGAATCGCACGGAAGCGACGGAATGAATCCACCCGCGTGCAGAATCAAGCTAATGAGTTGAGGAATCAACGAGCCATCCAACCAAGGGGAAACTCGGACGAATCACGATCGAATCAAGATCAATTTCGGACTCGAACTCAGAAGCGGATTTACTGCCAAATCAGGAATCCAACTTACTGCCAAATCAGATCATCAAAATCAGAGTCTCAGGTCAACCGAAACACGGACAAACGAGACAACGGAAAACGACTCGAAGAAGTCGGAAAACACCGCCCGCGGGGGCTCGGCCAAAGCCGAGCCCCGAGGTGGCCGACAGTGGCCCGAGGTGGCCGACAGTAGCCAGAGGTGGCCGACAATTCCCTTTTTGCAGCCACTGTCCTGAGAGCCTATAAATAGGCCTAGAGATGTTCATTTTCGGAGGTCGAACTTTCAAGAGCCGAAACTCTGCCGGATTGAAGAGTGAACTCGGAGTTTGAAGACCAGAAGACTTACATCATTCAGATCTGATCCTCGGCGACCATCCACGTCAGAAAAGGCAGGATC